CACTTTCGAATTATTACTTCATGAAAAATAGTTATAAAATGTCTGGAATGGATGCTGAGCTAAATACAGAAGGGAGGTGTTTGCCAGTGTCAGATGCTTCCATAAGATGCACGTCACCATGCCTTTCTCAGCTGGTGAGCAGGAGTTTGCAAAGTCTGGCTGAGCATGGAGTGGTTTTACCAGACGTGAGATGCTATGGAAAAGCACTCGTATGGTGTTTGAGATTTCTCTTTGTAACTGGCTCCAGCAATCAAATACACCTCCTCCCAAGCTGTTGTTTCCTACTCTGTACATAAATCTTCCATCTACTTAGCTTGAATTTTGGGTTTTGCTATGAAAGACCTTCTAGATATGAGACATGATTGCCTAGAGAAGGCAGGCAGATAATCTTGGTTGTAGAGTTACATTTTTCAGTGTTAGCTTTCTGGGTTTGCCCTTTAAAGATATGACAGTTGTATATAAGTGGAAGTAATTTAGCCCTGGGGGGGTGAAATTCTTTTTTAAGCTCTTCATGTAATCTTAGTTTGTTATTGCAAAAAGATCTCTAACCAGGAGCAACTGGGTCCAATCTGATGCTGAATTAAAAATAACTAGAAATCCTGGGGCAGTCCTCTGCAGTGCCAGATGCAGTTGGCGTCAGATGCACGTCTAACTCAAGTGCATTTGCCTGTATTTTACCCACAGGTACGGCAGGCAGGAGGGCAGCTGGAGGGCTGTCCTGCTGTCTGTCCTGCAGGTGGAGGCTCACCAAAGCCATCCCATTGATGCAGAGGGTTCAGTTTGCTGGCAATTGTACAACTGCAGAGTAGAAGACAGTTCCTGCCTAGAAGAGGTAAAAGGCAGCGGAAAAGTGCAATGATTGCCTCTGGTTGTTCAGCAGCTCAGAAAACTCTTGGAATTGATTTGGCTCTGCAGACATGCTGAAAACAAATTTAGTCCCATTCCACTAAATTCTTCTGGTTTACTGTTAGCATGAAATGCCCTGACTGTGATTTTACACGCAAGCAGGAGGTCACTGCAGACAGTACTGGTTATTATGAACTCCTCAATGCCAGCAACAGGATTTCAAAATGATGCAAGAGTATTTTTGTGCTGAGGAAGAGGTGAGATTTTCAGTTACCCAGAACTAGGTCATCAGAACTTAATGCAGGGAAGGGCTGGGAGTATCAGTCCACCAGTTGTATCCCAGTATGGACTGCGTCATCGTGTGAGCAGGCAGAATATTTGCACAGGAGTTTATCTAAGGTCACATGCTATGGGCCACGTTTTCATCATAGTTACAGATCTGATTTTTAGGCAACTATGCCCCTTGGACACATACTGAGTTAGACTAGGTAGCAAGGTGACCTTAAAGATATGGGCTAGAGTTATGGGACCAGTTACATTTAGGGGGCAACACCTGGCGTCTTACTGATCTACACAGTTGGGAACAGCAGTTTTTCCTGTAATGGTGAGCTTAGAGTCTATGTTGTGACAGTTGGGGAAAAAAGGAAGATAAATAGTTTTCCTGATTCCTTTGGTTAGGATAACTTTTGGGGAAAATTTGTAATTCAGTTTAGCCTTGTTTTGTGGGCAGTTCAAGAATATCTTGCTCTATATAATGATGTGGGAAAATAACTTGTTCTTTTTCAGACAAGGAATATTTCCAGAAAGGTAAGTTGAGCTAAATTTACATTATTTGATTTAATAGTTTGGCATCACTGAAGAATATAACATGGGCTAAAAAGTGACTGAAGTGTAGATATATCTTTACTGGTCAACAAAACTCTTGCAACAGGCCACCATGAATATTGTTACAGTTTTTATCTCCTTAGCCTCGTGGGCTGCCTCCCTTCTATAGAAGCTAGACTATTTCTTTGTATTTGGGGATGACAGGGCAAGGCCAAATGGTCAGGACTTATGAAATAGAAAGAGGAAAGACTCTTTTTGCAGAGATTGTGCAAAGGTCAAGGAACACACGTTGTGCGTCATTAGGGCTTTAAAATTGCTTGTATGTTTTTAAGTAAAATGGATCTAGGGAGAGTACAGCAGAAGAAAAGGATTTAGGGAACTAGCCACAGACAGTTATGCAAGAGCCCAAGACTTCAGATTTCTACATACATTCCTGCGGAACCTCATTTCTAGAACTTGCTCCTATATGGTGATTCGTATGTTTTGAGTATTCATCCCAGATCTAGCTTGAACCTGAGCTCAGCAGACAGAAACGAATGGAACACTGCCCTGCTTAACTCTGTTTTTCTGCTATCCCATCAGGTGTAAACGAGTGACTGGCTTCAGAAGCACAAATGCGTGGAAAAGGGAGCGATGATGCATTCAGTGCTTGCAGCTATGAAGCCCTGGGGCCTCTCAGCCCAATGTTCATAAATCAAACATCCATCAAAACACAAGACACTGCAAATTTATGTCCCTCACCTCCTTCCCAGCTCTCTGCCCTTCACAAAATCCACAATATTCCTACTTGAAATTCCTCAGAGACACACTATTACCAGACATAGACACACAGACAGACAGACAGACAGACAGACAGACAGGCATCAGTTAGTGAGGTACAGCTCATAAGTAATTCACTAAAGAGTCTGCTGGGATAGGGGAGGGAACTGTTGTGGGTGTATTGTTCCAGTCCCATCATTTCCCAAAACACTGAATGAAATAATAACTTGTTTATAATACTGCATGACATCAAGGCAATGCTACATAGCTACACTTGAGAAACAGCTTTGAACCCTGTGACCTTCCTTCAAGTGAGAAAGTCTTTAGGGAGGCCACGGGATGCAGAAAGCTGTACCCTTCTTCTGGTTCTCTAGATCTACTTGTCCCCTTGAACCACCTGTTTGCTTTTCCCTTACAGCTGTTAACTCTGGCTTGAAGCTAAAGATATCCCCTTGCCAAGCAGCCATGTGAGTGATACACCAATTCATTCCAGAGTAAGTTTCTGACATAAAATGAAACAAGTCCAGGCACTTGATCCACACTCCTCCAGTAAGCTACAGAAGGAAAAAAAAAATCATTCCTTGTGTCCCACCATGTTCACATTACCTAACGATTTTCCCTCTTTTCCTTTACCTACCCTGTTTCAAAGTACTCGACCTTGCAGGTTCACAGCTTTGATTTTGATACACTCTTTCTTTTCCCTAATACCACAGCTAAATCCTCTGTGTTACACAGCAAACAATTGCATCTTCCTGTGAAGGTGCACTAGGTACACTGCCTGATTGAATTCAGTGTTTCTAAGCAATAGAGAGAATATGCTGACCAGTTAACCTCTTGTATTTTCTTCTTTTACAGTGAAGTAAAAACAAAAGCAATCCAAAATTTAGAAGGGGGGGAGAAAAAGCGCCAAAACAAATGGGAACTGATCCTGCTCTCCTGAGAGAATGTTTACTTTAGAGATGTAAGCTAATGCATCTCCTGTCTTGTCTTTCCCCTAGGCAGCGTCTTCTAAAGAAAGGAAGGAGTAATATCTTCAGCATCAGTGCGGGTGTCTCATGTCTGGGGACTAATCACTTCCAGGACTGAGCCCTGATGACTTAAGCTGCTCTGTGCACAAAACTCCAAGCATGGAAGACAAAAACATTGTTCTGTTGCCCCAAAAAGGGAAGAAGGTTTCAAGGCTTGCTAAAAACAACCTCTGATCAGCTGTACACATCTAGACACTGTTGTCTTTGGTGTCCCAGATGGTCCCAGCTGTTGCCATAAGCATTGACAATGACATTCATTGCTTTTGCACACAAGTCCTAGACAAGCCCAATTTTTCAGCTGCCTGCTGATGGGAAGTGAAATTCACACGGATAAAAGCTGTTCTTGAGGTCCACAGGATCCCAAAGCTTGTGGAAAAATGGGGGGGATTAGTTGTAGGATCGCTTCCGGCCACTATCTAATTTTATCTGTGTGTCACTGATAGCGAACGTCATTCTTTTTATTATGAGAACCCCTCTACAAACAGGGCTAAAAATAAAAAGGCAAGAGCTCGTAGCTGGCACAAACTGTGCTGCATGGACTCCAATTTGTATAGCAGGAACTATAATCACTCTGAGACGTGCCCAAGCCCTCGGGCATCCCAAGGGATTTCAGTCACTTGTTTACAAGGTGTTTTGATTTGCAGCTGTTTGACTACAGTGGCATTTCAAGAGGGGGCGGTTTGAAAGGATGTTGTTACTGTGGATGCCGGGATTGGGAAATGGGTATTGAAAAATCACACAAGAAACAGGCGAGTGCTGTCTTTGTTCTTCCCTCCTTACACATGAATGACGTCAGTGCAGGGGAAAGGAGCTCCAGAACAGATCCAGAGATCAATGCTCTGGAAGGAATAAGCAGGGTGCAGGTAAATCCCTGAAAACAGAGCTGTGCTCTAAGCACACCAGAGTGCCCCTCATCTGATCTAAGGGGACTAAGTTCTGGAGGTAAGAAGGGAAGCATCCAAGCCCATTGCTTTTCCACCTTTTCTAACAAGATTATCACACCTAAGAACTAGGCTAAAGGCCACTTCAAACAGACCAGCAGCTGAAATGGATTTAGTCCCTGGCTCAAAGTGATTTAGCACTTCAGATGGCTCTTTCCATAATTCCCGCTCTCCTGACCTGAACAGTTCCTCTTTCAGAACTGCATTAAGCTAATGCCCACTTTCTTCTGGCCCTGTTGGGATAATGGATTCAAATATGCAGAAAGAATGTAAAAATCCATCTGTTATCTGGGATGAGTGATTTGCACAATGGTGCCCATGAGTGTTTGTTTAACACTGCGGACAGCCGGGCACTGCTAAGTGGTAACACACTGAGAAAGGGAAAGAAGGGAGGAGAAAGTAGCCTGGCTGTTTAAAAGCTATGTCCACCAATCTGTCTGCATGTTTTTGGCTTAGTTTGCCTGTTTTTTGTGGGAAGCCAGGAAGGACACGTGGAGCTTTTCCCAGGCTTTAGCGTTATTCTCTTGTTTCCAGCCCTGGATTTTGTATGCGTTAATTACAGCAACTCACGTAGGAAATCCAGTGCCAAGAGGATATTTACCTTGCAAACATTTCAGCTGCTGCCCCCTCTCCCCTTCTGTGGCTTTCTCGAGCCATGGCTGACTGGAGGCGCCGCGCTGCACTTGAAGAAGCCTCACCCTTGCCAACCTCAGTCACCAGCTCTCTGCCTGCTCAGTGTGTGCCAGAAACCTGGCTGCACTTTCTTGGCAGGGAGCAGCCATCTCCTCACTTCCTGAAGGTGAAGGAGGGCTCTGCCTAGAATATAAAGCATAAAATGGGAAAGAAGCAGTTAGATTATACCATGACAAATTGTTGTTTTTCTAGAGAGGTAAAAAGCCACCCTATGTTTGATTCTGAGTGACATTGATCAGTTTGGCACCAGCAACTTCTCTGCTGGAGTCACGAGTGACTACTCTTTAAGCAAGTACCAGAATTATCTAGGCTGGCATTACAGTTCATCACACTCCTTGCTTTCTTTAGGCAAAGTTGAAGGAAAAATCTGCATTTGCACTGCACATGCAATCGAAGATCTCAAAGAACATGACTTATCCTAGCCCACATGCCAAATCTGAATCAGAGCCAGGGTCAGAAATTCTCACTCTCTCTCCTTTCCTCCAGCCAGGATAACTTCTCCTCAAGGTCAGCTATGACTGTTGCCATCAGGGGCATGTGACACTTGTCAGCACCTTGCCACACATACCAGTTTCAGACTCCCTGGGTTTTACCCATAGCTATTGAGAACTGTCTACAGAAGAGGCTGCTAAAAAGAAAGTTGAAGACTGTTGAAGTCTATTCTAATCCACAGTGTCTATATTTGTGCAGCCCGTGTCACAGCAGAGCAGAGAAAATGTCACTGGAACAGTTTTCTTTCTGCCAACAGGCAAGAGGTTTAAAAAGAGGCAGTAACCTCTATTTGATGATGTGTTTCTACAAATGTTTAACTTGCTATTTCATTTAGAAATCATCTTTAATGTTGATTTATATTCCTGGCAGTGAAGTCAGGAGGTTGGCAATCCCATTCCTTTTCAGTCTGTGCTCTGACTGAGGCAATAACACAGATCAAAGAGAAGGAGTCTTACAGCACTCACATTTTATCATCTCAAATGTTTTCAAGTTCTCACTCTGATATTCATGGGCAGATTATGTAACTACTAGATTTATACTTCTGAAGGCCACATAGTAAAGACTGAAATGTTGTATCATTAAGAGGAGGTATTTGGAAATAATTGAATTGAATAAAGGAACAACATATCAAGTAATCACTTGACACAAGCAGCAACGTTTTCATGGAGATGTCGTTTTGCTCCAGTCTTTTATAGGGTCAGCCTCTTGTTTTCATGCCATAGAATATATAATTAACTGCATGTTATTATACATTCTAAGTCTTGTTTTTCATCTAAATATGTCAAGCTGACATTTTTTTTTGCCTTAGTAATTGCTAAATATTCAAGGACTTGAATTCCATCAATAACAGTTTACCTAACTGATGGAAGCAGAGTAAGCCACAGACTTTCTGTGAATTTTTCAGAGGGTAATATATTATTAGTTCATTACAGTTCATTATCTAATGGGTCATAGGAATACGAAGACTTGCTTTGGTGCCTGCCTTGAGCCTCCCTGCCCATGGCTTTTGTACAGTGTCTCATGAACACTGATAGGTTTAGTTGCCTAATGATTTGGGGACTTTGACTGCATAGCAGCACCACCTTTTTAATAAAAAAGAGAACAAAGGCAGGCAGAGGTTAGCAGATCATAGCATGGTTGGGGTTGGAAGAGACCTTTTAGCCTATCTCATCAACCCAGCACTATCACTGTAACCCCTAAATCACTAAATCATCCCCCTGCACCACATCCAGACACCTCTTAAACACCTCCAGGGATGGTGACTCCATCATCTTCCTGGGCAACCTATTCCAGTGCCTAAAATGCACTGAAGGATGAGAGAATAGACTGAGAGCAGCCCTGATGAGAAGGACTTGGGGGTTTTTGTTTATGAGAAGTGCAACATGACACAGCCATGTGCAGGCAGGTTGGGGCTCAGAGCAACCTGGTCTAGTGGGAATTGTCCCTGCCCATGGTGGGAGTTGGGATGAGATGATCTTTAAGGTCCCTTCCAAGCCAAACTACTGCGTGATTCCATGCAGTGGGACAGGACCCCAATGTGCTGGCAGCCAGAGGGCACAGACTGTGGGGACATCATGGCTGGGCATGTCCCCCTCTGCACTGGCCCTGCTGCCACGAGCCACTGCTGGACAGACACACAGACAGGCTGCTAGCATGTGCTGGGACAGGCCTGCATGGGGAGATCACAGAATTGTCCGGGTTTGAAGGGACCTCTGGAGACCATTTAGTCCAAGCCCCTGCCAAGGCAGGGTCACCTAGAGCAGATCACTGAGGAAGGAACACATCCCATGTCCAGGTGCATTTTGAATGTCTCCGGAAAGGGAGACTCCACAACATCCCTGAGCAGCCTGTTCCAGTCCTCTGACACTCACTGCAAAGAAATTCTTCCTCATGTTGAGGTGGAACTTCTTTTGTTTTAGTTTACGGCCACTGCACCTTGCCCTCTTGCTGGGCACCATCCTCTTGGCACCCACCTCTGAGATATTTATATGCACTAGTGAGATCCCCTCTCACTTTTCTCTTCTCTAGATTAAACAGGCCCAGCTCCCACAGCCTTTATTCATGAGAGAGATGCTCCAGTCCCTCACTCATCTCCGCTGCCCTCCACCAGGTACTGTCCAGCAGCTCCGTGTCCCTCTTGTCCTGAGGAGCTCAGAGCTGACACAGCACTCCAGGTGTGCCTCACTAGGGCTGAGCAGAGGGGCGGGATCACCTCCTCGGCCTGCTGGCCACAGCTTGTGCTGGATGCGGACGCGGGCACGGGCACGATCACAGACACACAGACACGGGCACGGGAGCGCCGCCGGCCCCGCCCGTGGGCGGTGCGGCCCCGCCGGCCCGGCCCCGCTGCCCGGCCCCACGCCCCGGACGCGGTTGTGGCGGCGGAAGGGAAGGGGCGGGGCGGTGGCGGTGGCGGCGGGCCCGGCGCGATGTTCCTGACGGCGGCGGCCCGTGAGTGGCGCGGGCGCGGCGGGGCCGGGCGGCGGTAATGGCCGCGGCCTTGACCGCGGGGGCGGCTCTGAGGGCGGGCGGGCGGCCCCGGCAGCGCGACCTTCGTGACCCCTCCCGGCCCTTCCCCGCCCTTCCCCTCCTTCGGCCGCGGGGCCTGCCAGCGTGCCCCGGAGGGACCGCAGTGTGACCTGAACGAGACTGGCACAGACACAATAAACATAAACTCCTTTTTTTTAGTGGGAATTTGAACTTGTGCTGCAGATTTATGATTACTGTAACTTCAGTGAGATGACAGAGAAATAGTTCAGCCTGTTTCGTGCTGTGCTGTGGCTTAGGTGAGCGGGCCCCCAGGCAGGCCCGCGGGAGGTCGGGCCCAGCTGAGAAGCGCTCCCTGCTCTGCCCCTGTGGCCGTGCCAACCCTTGTGCTGGCACCACAGCGGGAACAGAAGCCGGGGTGGTGGAAACAAATCTAGGAGACTGGGACTGCAGTTTGCACCAGCAGTGCTCCTCACACCTGTCTCAACTTCACACTCACCCAGAGAATTCATACTCGGTTCTGATGCTGAAAACTTACTGAGAACATCTGGAGGGTGCAGCCTGTCATGCTGGGCACTGCATTTGCACAGACACAAAGGTGACATGATGCACAAAGAGCAGGGATCTGGCAGCGCGTGGAAGAGTGAATGGTGCTTTATTGTGACAGTGAATCTCTTTGCACTATTGCTCTGGGGCTTTAGCAAAGTCAGGCCACGAAACACACTTAATCTTTGTACGTTGCATATAAAGGAAAAAGATAAAATGGTAACTGTTTCTTCTGTTTTTCTCTTCTTCATGCTGAAAAAAACCCAATCCAGTGGCCAAGAGCAAATCTAAGTAAGTGATGGTTTTCCTCAGCATTTTTTGATTACTGTTATGTTGTATCTTAACAAAATGTTAAGTTTCTCTAGGATTTTTTAATATACCTGAGAGAATTCCAGTCCTTGAGTCTGGCTGCATCATCTCAGCCATTCTGTATGTGTGTCTTGTCACAGGTAAGTACAGAATGGTGTGAAACTCTCCCATGGGTTCTGAACTTGCAGCAAAGGCAGGTTTTGTCCTATGGGCTGTTACATTGAGCTCAGCAGTAATCTCCAAAGCTCCCTGCACAGGGGGAGCACACCTCTGTGCTCTGTGATTAGAGAGTTGTAAATTATCCAAGTACTTTCCTTGTTGTTCACCTGTCATACCTTTTTAGCTGAGGAGAGTAAACTAAGGTACAGTGTGGGTCTTTGTTGTCTGTGGTGTGGACTTTGGGCAGGTGCTGTGAAGCTCTGCCATAGCCAGAGTGCAGAACACTTCCTAGGCTGAGCATATTCCTGAGTTTGGGTGTGAGGAATGGATGGGGTGCAGTCAGTGCTCTGGGCATCTCAGTTTGCTCTCGAGTCCAGCTCAGCAGAGATGTCAGTGGGCTCTGAAAGGAAATTAGTCACAGTCCTCTGACCTGTGTTAAGGATTGGAAAGAAAGGAATATGTGCTTTGAGCACAGTGCTCTTACAATGTAGGCACAAGGAAACAAGATCATGTGGAGAAACTGACTTGGATCCAAAATGTTCTTTGTAAGAAAATTAGCTAGACGAATCCAAGAGCCTAAACTGTTACATTTATGTGGACACATTCCTGTTTTCCCTTCCCAGAAGTTGCATTCTGTATGACTGTATTATACTTGATTCCACACAGGCCTGGGATCTATGGCCTTTGGTACATTTTCTGTATTTTGTTGGGTTTTTTTTAAGAATCTGCCCCCAGCACAGCCTGTACCGACCACTTGCCACATTTGAGCAAATTCTTCTGTTACAGAATTTCTGCACAATTGTCAGGCTTTTAAATTAAGAAAGCACTTCCCAAGTATGTGCCTGACAGAGAGCAGCTTGACATCTCATTGTTCTACTGTTATCTGTTCAAAAAACAAACACAGCAAACCAGGAGGTTTCAGCAAGGTGAAAAAGTAGCTTTTTTAAATGGTGTTATTAATGTTAATGTAGGGATTTTTACCACACACTCCCATTTTTTTTTAAACCCAATGTTTCTTTCTGTTCTTTTACAGTCCCATATGCACTCCAGGAATATGTTCTTATATTATTTATTATTATTTATCCTTCTCCATTCCCCTTGGGTTTCTTCTTGCCCTG